CCAAGGGTGCCCCGGGCTGGCTGCTGCCCCAGGCGCGGGTCCCACCCCCGGGCCCCCCTTCACCTTTTTGACGTAGGTGACGTCAGGGTGGTGCTTGGGGGGCATCAGCAGCAGCTGCAGGCGCTCGTAGAACTGGATGCCATTGAGGGAGGTGACGCCCATGTAGAGGAAGATCCCGAAGAGCACGGCCAGCGGGATCTGCCGCAGCAGTTTCCCGATGACGATGGACAGGCCTGGGCCAGAGCAGAGTCAGCCGCGGTGCCCGGGGAGGGGGCAGCCCCCAGCCCCATGCCTCCCTGCCCGCTCACCCCCCGCGCTTGGGGAGGGCCCTGCGGCCCCGGTGTGCACGTGGGACAGGATGGCCACGCCAACTTGGCCAGGGCTTGGGGCACCCCAAGCTCCTGTGGGCCCAGCTGCTCCCCCCACCGCTGCTCCCTGCCCCGCCACAGCTCCCCAGGGCTGCCCGGCCCCCGCAGCCACGCGGGACGGAGCGGGGCCGGCCGGGCCCCACAGCGGGCAGGCTGGACCTACCGACGAGCACGGCCACCAGCAGCCCAGTGACCCGCTGCTCCTTCACCTCCTGGATCTTGGGCTTGTCCCCGGGCGCCACAGCCTTACTCATGACGGTGAGGGCGTTGGCGTGCGTGACGGAGCGCACCGTGGCTGCGGCGAGCCACGGCAGCCCAAAGAGTGCGAAGAAGCCGCCCATGGCCACAATGAGCAGGAGGTCAAGGTGGAACCCAGAGCCCTTCTGCAGCATCCGCTCCTTCTTGCTGATGATCAGCCTGGGCACAAGGGCAGACTGTTGGCGTGGCTTGACAGGACTTGGCACGGCACGGCACTGCAAAGCTTGGCATGGCACGGCCCGGCACAGTTCAGCATGGCACAGCTCAGCACGGCATAGCATAGCTTGGCCTGGCACAGCGCGGCACTGCACAGCTTGGCGCAGCTCAGCACGGCACAGCTCAGCATTGCACGGCATGGTACGGCACAGCTTGGCATGGCACAGCTTGGCATGGCACACCCTGCCCCGCTCCTGCCCCACACGGCCCTGCCGGGCCCCCAGCCCTGCCCCGCTGCGCTCACGTGGTGATCTGCGTCTCCATGAAGATGAGGATGAAGACAAGGATGGCGGGGAGACCGCAAGCCACCATCATCCAGACGGGGAAGTCGCTCTTCTCGCCCAGGGGGTTGATCACCCAGCCCCGTTTGTCCGGGGCCGTCACCGAGAACCCGCTGGGCACGCTCAGCTTCTGCGGGGGGAAGGCGAGAAACGCCGGGGTGGGGGCGCTGGCTCTGCCGCCGGCACGCAGCTCCCCCAGAGCGAGGGGTGCCACGGGCACGGGGGGAGCCGTGGAGGCACCGGGACCAGCCGCAGTCG